GCTGGCTAATGATCCTAGAATTACACTCATTATTCCCCCAGACGGGGGGTGCACCACTCCCGGAGGCACTCACAGAACAGAGAGAACAGTCCCAGCGTCCTGCACCGAGAGCTGACTGGAGTGGGGGGAAAACGACCACCTGGCCCCAGCTAACGATCCCCAGAGATACACTCACGATTCCCCCAAATGGGGGAGGGGGGTGAGTGCACCGCTCCCGGACGCACTCACGGAACGGAGATAACAGCCCGAGTGTCCCAGACCGGAGTGGGAAAAACACCACCTGGCCACAGCTAACGATCCCCCCGGAGAGGGAGGATCCCGAAACTCACGGAGCGGAGATAACGATTCGGGCATCCCAGGCTGAGAGAGAGAGAGAGAGCTGACCGGGGTGTGTGTGTGGGGTGGGGAAGGCCTTGGAAGAGCGATGCCGAGCCAGGAGAGAGCACCGAAAAAGCGGAGCGGAGGCAAAAAAACACTCTTCCGGGAGTTCTTACCTATATACTGGGCATGACGTGCATGTTATGGAATAAATCATTGGTTGTTCTGAGTTTCAGTCTTAACATAAGGGCAAATCCTATGCTAGCAACCGGCTGTGCCTCTTTGCTCGTCTGCTGACCTTGGCAGCAGAACGGAACGTTGGTCTTACCAGCTCCTCTTGAGCATAAATCCAAAACACAGCCTCTGGCTAGCTATTTATGAAGAAGAGGGAGGAAAAAAAAATTAACAGAGTTAACTTTAAGCAGTCTGTGCTTAACCCACGACAAGTTTGCTTTAAGGTCTATTGCTTAATTGTTAATCCTAATTGTAAATCTTGTATTGTGGTTGTTTTTAAGATAATACTAAAAGAAAATAGCCTTTTTCAGTGATTCTGGTGGTAGGAATGGTCATGGGTTCACTAGCAGCCTATGAACTTCTGGCAAGGACAAGGCAAATAGTCTGTGAAATTGAATGCATTTGTAATATGTGAAACAATTTCTCCTTGAAATGCTAATCAGATCTCAAGTTTTCCTTCCTCATTGCTAGTCAGAGCTATACAGAAATACAAAAGTCCACCTTCTGCTCTTTCTAGCTGTAATATCCAAGAATCACATTTAGTTTTAAAGATGGAGGTTTAAGAGTGTAAAATCCTTTCCCACCTACTAAGGAATCTGGGTTAAATTTGATTAACAACTGTATTCACTGTAGTGTTTCAATTTGGTTTCATACTCATTTGCATCCACATTCTGCTGAGTTACATATACTGATAAGTAATAGCTGCTTTTTAGTGAAGTGTGCAAGTACAGCATCCAGCCTTGTCTTTTCCAGAGCGGTGCTATTAAATGCTTTTGCAGCATCATTTTGCATATATTGGTCTGCATGCTTGTGTAAGTCTTTTTTTGCTGCAAGGCATGCATGAAAACCCTTAATAGCTTTTAAAATTAGCAGTATATAGCATGAGAAGTAGTAAAAAATATTGATAATACCATGGTTTGTAATTGATTTATATGGATTGATTTTTTTTTTAAGTTGAATATGAAGTATTTGTCACCTCTTGTGTTGTCATATGAAGACAGAATAAGAGAAAAGGAAGATGTAATTCTTGGACATAAGGCAAGTTGCTATTTAAAGAAAATATACTTCTACACTAAAGCAGAAATAAATGACTGAATTTTTTTTAAAGGGACTTGTCAAAGCTGTTTTCTGCCTAAAATTAAAACTGACTTTGTTTTACTTTTCCATGCATAGTTATTGTGCTGTCTTATCCTACTTGGCTTGTTTGTTTTTGTCAGCCTGTTCAGATGTAGAAACAGGCACTACACTGAGATGTACAAGATTTGTGCTCTCTGGATGGAGTAAACAATAAGCACAGTCAGTGGTAGAAAGAATTTACCATTGTCACTTGTAATAGGGATTCAGTGCCCAATACAGCTTTTCTTCCAGTTGAATTTTGTGGTAGAATAATATTTATTTCTAAGTTTTAAGGAGTGGGTATAAAGGAATAGGTTCTCTTCTTGCTCTTCAGAAATACTTGCCACTGAATTTTAAAAAAAATCATTATTTGCTTCAGAGCACAACTGCCATAGCTTTTCAAAATAATTTATTTTCTTCAACAAATTAAACCATAAAATGAACAGAAAACACTGAGGGTTTTATATTACTGTAAATTCACTGAATTATTTTACCATATTCAAATTTGTGTCATTCATACTGAAAATATGTAGTATCATCTAGTAATTTCCAGAATTCAGTTTTTTAAATCCATGTTTTAAGGATCTAAAACTTGCTTCATTCAAATGACAATTGGCAAAAATGTGGCACAATTCAAATATCTATATTATTTTTAAATCATGTATTACTAGATTGATGAAGCAGTTTAGAAGTTAAGTATGCATATCTGAATTAAAGATGAGTGAGTAGTGAGATAGTATGCTGTTAACAGAAGAATTAGAAGGCACCCAGGCATGTATATTTATAAAAGTTTTTGTTGATGTAAAAATTAAAATACTTACCTCTGAAGAATTTTATGTAGAGTCCTTTGTCTTCCAGGAGGATATGAAGAATTTTAAAGTACGAGTTGAAGAGTTGGTGAAGGAGAATGAACACCTGCACAAGCAATTAAAGAAAAGTAACTTTATTAGCCCTACAAAATGGCAAGTTATATTATTACAAATTAATTTAAAAGCTACTCATTATTTTGCTTGTTGCATTGTGGTGGGTTAGCCCTTGGCTTGGGCCTTCTCTTTCTGCTCCTTCTCTGTAAATCAATGTTATTATTATGTGTATTTACAAGCACTTAAATGTAAGCTTTTGTGTGATACAAGCCTGGTACCTCTTTAATGTGAAAATTAATGTTTTATGTGCAAATATAGGAAGGCACTAAGGTACCATTAAAAAATATCAAAGAAAGACTTTCTAATTTTTTACATGAAAAATGTATTTATTATTTGGTCCAAACAAAATTTTAATTACTATTTCATCCTAACAGAATTAAAAGAATACCCTGGAAAAATTGCTGTATGAAAAGAAATAGCTAAAACATTAACATTAAGGATAATTTATTAATTCCAACTGCAAAAAAAGCAAAACAATGTTTTCTGCAGTAGAGGATTTTCTAATAAAAACCGAGAGCTGACCGGAGTGGGGGAAAAAACGACCACCTGGCCCCAGCTAACGATCCCCCCGGAGAGGGAGGATCCCAAAACTCACGGAGTGGAGATAACGATTTGAACGTCCCAGGCTGAGAGAGAGCTGACCAGGGTGTGTGTGCGGGGAGGGAAGGCCTTGGGAGAGTGATGCGGAGCCAGAAGAGAGCACCGAAACCGAAAGCGGAGCGAAGGCAAAAGAGAAAGCACTCTTCCCGGAGTTCTTACCTATATACCGGGCATGACGTGCATGTTATAGAATAAATCATTGGCTATTCTGAGTTTCAGTCTTAACATAAGGGCAAATTTTATGCTAGCAACCGGCTGTGCCTCTTTGCTCGTCTGCTGACCTTGGCAGCCGAACAAAACATCGGTTATCAGCTTTCCTCCTGAGCATAAATCCAAAACACAGCCTCTTGCTAGCTATTTATGAAGAAGAGGGAGGAAAAAAAAAATTAACAGAGTTAACTTTAAGCAGTCTGTGCTTAACCCATGACAAATGTTTATGATTACAGATCTTAAGGAGAAATTTTGTTCTCCTCAAGCTAACTAAGTTTTGCCAAAGAGTTAACAGGGTCATAATTGTGTCTTGTTGGAACAATGCTGATCTGCAATGCCTGAAATAATTTTGGAGTAAAGATTAAATAGTGAATGTGCAGTTTTGCACCTGAAGCCCATGTAATTCTGTCCCAGACCTCACAGGTTACTTACTTAACTTTTACACTTCTACTAACAATAGGAATGTGCCAATGGCATCAATTTTTAATTAATATAAAATTGTATGGCATTGGAAGAATTTTATGTTCTTGAAGTGAAATAATGCAAACGTAATGAAATTAAGTAGTATAAAATACATATGAGACTTAATAACAATTTCCCTAAGGCAGGCATTCATCAGTTGGTAACTGAGATGGAGAAGAGACTGGTTGTACTGGTTCATCACAAGATGATTGTGAGCTTTTTAGGGTACCACCTGTAAAGAAAAAAAAAAGGCAGTATAGGCCTTGGGTATGTTAGAATAGGTCCTTCTAGTAGAGGTTGGGCAATAAAAACACCACTATATGGAACTCCCTGGAGAGTCCCAGTCATCCATATTTAGGTACAGAGAAACAAAGCTGAAAGAGTTTATGGTGTAGCCAAGGAAATGGAGAGCCTCTTTTCTTTGGAGTTGAGACAGATTGGCCTTTCTCATTTAGCAAAACAAAGGCTGAGAAAGGACAATGTTGCCTTCTGCAAGCACATCAGGAACAGGAGTGGTGAAGTATGCAAAGAACTACTAAGCTGCATTTATAGGACTGAGGGCAGAGTTACTGGAACAACAGCTGGGTATTCATTCACCATAAACAAAGACAAACAAACAAAGTGGAAATTGGAAGATGATTCCTAACCAGTGTAACAGGTTTTGGAACAGCATCCACTGCATGTAGTGAACATAAAAATTCTTACTGCGCTCATGACACAGGTGGTAATTGTATGGAAGGGATCACATGGCACAGGGTGCACAGTAGGAGGACTTTATGTCTCAAGCTGTCTCTTCCAATCTCAAGTCTCTCTGCAGATTTAACCAGTAACATCGACTGACTTTCCAAGAGAGCCGCCTCAAGGCAAAATTACAGAAGCGTTTAGTTTCTGTATAGATCTGGTTAAGTAGGTTGTTATAAAAGTGTTTTATAGGCACTTTAATAAAATACTCTGGATATTTTATTTACCCTTGCATGCTTATATACTGTCCAAAAATTCCAAAACACACTTTGTAGAGGTGTTTCAGCTTCTTAAATATAATTTTTGAACTGTTAACACCTTTGTTTTAATTTTGCCTCTCTGCAAATGAATGAGAGAAGTTCATATCCCTCTTGAATAGTTTCAGGCTCTCTGTAGTCTCTGTCTGGGATTTTTTTTTAAGGCTGGGGTTCAGCAAGGCAGGGATGCAGGGATGCCAGCAGCAATACCATCTTACCAAGCTTTTGCTCTGTACCTTCAGTGACTTCTTCACACTCAGTGTTGCAGTGCATTGCTCATTTATTTGTATTGACATTACTTCTCATAGGGATGCACTGTCAAGCGCATAAAGGAGTTGGTCTTGATCAACCTAATCCCCCTTTTGTAGCAATTTTTAAAATTTTGTTTCAAAACACTCTCATGGTGCCAGGCATAGCTGAGGTTGAGGATGTAACCTGGTAGTGTGGGAGACATTCCTTATGCCTAAACCTGTTGATGAAATATCAGCAATACAAATTTGCAAGTTGCAGTTTTACCTGGAAAATATTTTGTTTTTAGTTGAACTCCAGGCTAGATAGTTTCAATTAACCAATTTTTAAGTAGCTGATGTGCATTTGCTTCATTCTCCTATGCCCACTGCAGTAAATTTCACAGTTAATTAATTAAGACAGCTAAACTTACAAGCTCCTGTGCACAAAGGTTTTCATGGATACAAGTGTAAACTGACTTCCATTTCTATGTTTGCAAAAAATCTTCACAGTATTCTGTTTAAGACTATATTTTTAACCTGACAGACAACAATTGTTGGCTGTATGACCCAGCTTAGATTTTAGTCAGAATATAATTTGATAGTATGGGAAATTGTCCCTATCTAGACCTATACACAATAGGATGCATTTTTATCTAGGTCAGGCCACACATGAACAAAAGTAAATATATGTGTGTTAGTTACTCTCAAAAGAAATCTTTGGTAACAGTCTATTTTCCTACACTTCGTTTGAGTTCAGGCTACTCTTGCTGTTGATGACAACTCTTGAGTTTAAATGCATGTGATATCATCTGACACTTGTACTGTATTTCTGCTTGCATTCTGGTTAATACTTCTCAACTTTTTAAGCTATTATTAGAACAGCAGTAGTTTCTTAAGCTTTCATTACCATCAGAAAGACCAGTATTGGTTTTCTTGAAAGCTGAACTAATAGTAGGTATAAAGCAGAGAGTTAAGTTCTCTGCTCAGGATAGTTCAGTTTAAATGCCCATCTTCATTACAGGCCCATAAAACACACTGTCAATATTTTTCCAGAGATCCCTTCCAACCTCAACCATTCTATGATGCTATGATTCTAATTCACACGTACATATTTTTCCTTCTTTCTATAGGGAATTTTTGCTTTAGTCAGTCAAAGTTTTTAAACATTATTTAAAATAATTTACATTTTCAGGGCTGTGAGTTCATATCTCTGATAAGCTTACCTTGGGTCCTGGCGTTGCTTTCAGTGAAGGTTTTTGATTTGTTTTTTAAAGAGATTCAAATGTAATTTAATAAGTTTACACTGTTGGAAGTCAATTCTGTTTTTTCTTTGGACATAAGTTAATATTTTAATTGTATTTTATTTATAAGTTGGTTGTCATTGCAGGCAGCAGCTGCAAACTCAGGCCATGCTGATCTTAGAAGAAAATGAACTGTTGATGGAGCAAATCAAAATTCAACAAGCTAAAGAACAAGATAGTCCCAGTAAACATGTTAAAGCAGGTAAAGTGGTTGAGTTGCTAGTCATTTGAACTACACCAGAGATGGTATTGCAGGTTTGGTTTTTTTTGTGGTTTTTTTTGTTTTAGTGCTTTTTGGGGTTTTTGGGGTTTTTTTGTTTCTTGGTTTTTGTGGTTTTTTTTTTTTTTCAACTTCATATATGCCTACAAAGCATTGCTGAATACAGGTAATCCTAATATGAGATCAAACTCTGGATGTCAACTGATACTGAAATGTCAGTATCACCTATTGAGACTATACAGCACACTCCCTTTTGACTTGCTTCCTCTGACAAGAACTGTTAAACAGCAATACACTTTCATAATTTAACAGCACTTCAGACTGTACAGGTTGGTATTTGTGAGATATTATTTGCTTATTTAAATGTTCAATTTGGAATTTGTAAGGTTTTTAAAATTTCTGCTTTGTAACCAATGTTTATCACTTAATATAATTGATTATATCATAAGTAGCAGTATTTGATTTTACACTTTTATAATTTGATACTGCTTAAATTTACATGCATGTTCAATTACTAATCTGTTACCTGTTGGTGTTTTATCAGAGGTTTGTATTTGCTTGAATTCAGAACACTTGATATTCTTTGTCTTGCCTATAAATCTTATTTCTTGACCAAGCTTAATTTTTCTGCTGATAGTTATTTTTTGCATGGGCAGATTCCTCTGGATGTTTCTTGTTAATTGCCTTCTGACTGGATATTAGAAAGAGAACAAACATGTTATAGTTTAAAATCCCAACAGTGAAAGTAAAATTTCTTAGTGAAAGTTTAAAAGGCAAAATTGAATCTTAATTCACAGATTAGGATGTTTTGAAAAACATTTAATTATGTGTGATTAACATAAGTCACTGATGAGGACAGTTTCCTTAAGTAAACCTATATAGCAACACTCGAATTCTGCAAGTTTTTATTCATCTGCCACCTAATTCCATAAATACTTTTCTTTCTGCTTTTAAAGTTTCTGAGTTTCTTGTTTAGAGTTTTATCTCTTTATAATGTGTTTAGAAGATAACAGCTCATCATACCCAAGGCCAAAGGCCAGACAATACCCAAAAATCAGGTGTTCTTCTTTCCAAATCTCAGAATAGCTTGATCTGGTATGACTTGTCAGAATATCCCTAGTAAACACTGGCAGATTTTGTTACTGGAGTTCTCACAAGGAAACGTGAGCCCTGATCTTCCATTCAGTTCCTACAACTGTTCTGGCAGTGTATCCAGTGACTGAAATACATGCTACAGGAAAAACTCGAGACATCAGTGAACAGAAACTAGGCAGTCTCAAAATGTGTGCCCTGTCTACAAGGCCACAAAACTCATGTTCCATTTTAGGTTTTTTTCCTGAATTAGTAAAAGCCGAATCTGAGATTTTTCAGAGTAAAATGATGTCTCAATGGGCAAATAGCCCATTGAAAATAAGTGGTCTTGAAGTTTTGGCACTTTTCCAAAACAAACTACTTAAGACAGAAAAAAAAAATCCAAACTGTTAAAATACAAAACAAACTGACAAATCCACTGTTACAGAATGCTATGAACAGCTAGGACTTAACATATTACTGGTTTAGTTGGAGTTTCACTAAGTGATTGAATTAGTTCTACTGTACTCAGTATTTTTTTTTATCCTCCCAGAAGTTTCAAAATTGATAAAACAGATAATAATCTTAGAAAATAAGGAAAAGAGTCAAACTGAAGAGATAGCAGAGTGCAAGAAGCAGTTGGAAGCTTTGCGTTCTATTTTTGAAGAGCTGAAAGCCAAACTGGATAGCAGACCAGCAGCAGAGGAGCTCTTTACTTTGATGAATGATTTAAAAAGGTAGGAGTTTATGTATGGTGCAGAGAAACAATTCTGCAGAGTATTCACATGAACAGATCTGCATACACATCACTCTGTAGATAGAAGTTGAGTGGAAACTTATCCTGTAACCTAGGAAGGTATGTACCAAAGTACTAAGAAAGGTAAAGAAATATTTCAAAAATACTGTTTTGCTTTTTATAGATAATTAAAGTTACAGAAGGAAGTCCTGGCTCTAGAGACATTGGTAGAAATGTTTCTATCATAGAGTATGTACTGCTAAATGTACCTTTTTAAATAGTAGAAGCAGCAGCATTAAAAACATAATTTTTGTCAAATCAACTTAGTTCTATCAATACTGTATGTAAAATTTTCTCATTCTTTTGTTCCCATCTTTGGGAAAATGTCTGAAGGATCCTGAAGTTCTAAACTAAAAGCAAACTAAAAGTGTTAAGGTTTTTCAGTCTATACGATATGGAAGTAACACAAAACCAGCACAACATAAAAGTGCTATCATGCGGCACAGTCTGTAAAGTAATTTTTTTATAAAGACATTCTGTAAATTTGTTTGCTTTCAAGCCTTAGGACAGTGCAAGTTTCTTGGTATGGTGTCTTCCTAAGAAGTTCTCAGACCTTGTTTTTTGGCATTGCTAGTAATTTATTTGAAAAAAAAATTAGGTAAAGAAAATATTTGGACTATATAGGATATCTTTATAATTTAAGTTCTATTTCAAGTGTAGTCAGGATTAATTATTTGAATAATTTTGGTTGTATTATGCTTCATTCATGATTTGATATATCATGAGATTGTAATACCTCTCTTTGAATTAACCACTGAACATTAAGAATTCTCAATGTATCTTTTTCATACCTTCAACATGGGTATCTTACTGTAATTTATCTTTTTAGTGAAGTAATTTTATACATGATGCTGTTGGTTTTTGCAGCTGTTTACAACAGGATAGGGAGAAAAAGTGCCGTCAGACAGAAGATCTAACGGGAAAGATAGCATCACTGCAAGCTGAAAACGAGAAACTGCTTTTAGAGAAAAATAACTTCATGGCTAAACACACGATCTTGAAAACTGAGATGGAAGCGATGCAAAAGACAAACAGGTCATATCACGCTCTAATTTTCTTGTATTTCTAAAAATAGAAATATCTATAAAAATATTGTCTGTCATCCCACAGTGTGTAATTTCTACCTGTTACAGAAAAAACATGTTTCCTAAGCACATCTTTGTCACTTCTAAAGGCCTGGTCCTCGAGTAACTTTGCTAAGCTTTATATGTTTTCATGCACACTTTTCTGTCTACATGCAAATTAAGAATATATCTTTAATGCTAGTAGTTAGTTATAGCAATTAATCATTTGTGTACTCGCCTGAAAAACAGGGTGATTTTAAAACAATCATAAGCCACTACTGGCAGATGTTCTCTTGCACCCGAGTGGTTCAGAGTTGGACTCGCAATACTTTAAAAAGTAAAAACAATATAATTGTTGAATTTCTTAAGAAATAGGAGCTTGTAGCCATTGCACAAATTGTTCTTTTGAATCGTTGTTGTTGTTATTCACACAACATATTGTAAAGAAAAACAGCCCCCAAAAGTGGGAAATGATACTTTGGGCACTGAAAACATTTTGAGCCAACGTGTCTTTAGCAGCATATTTGATTGAGACTTATGCGAGTTGATTTGCACATGCAATACAAGTCCTTTTAATGCTATTATTAATTCTCAATCTGAAGATTTTCCTTTTAATTTTGTAGGCACTTGCAGAAGAAAATAGGTCGTTTGCTAACGCAGTTGGAGGAAGGAACGGAAAAAGAACTGGAAGCCCATTACCATCTAACAAAACTTACTAGTTTGGCGGAAAATATAGCTCAGGAACGCGATAGTCTTATTCTGTTGGTAATTACTTTTAAATAATTAATATGACTTAATTGATATTTCACACAATTATCAATCTATGGGCACAACACATTGTTAATTTGAATTATCAAAAGAGAAATCTATAATTTCAGTTTAAGGATTTAGCTATTTAAATAGGACAGGAGCAGCAAAAGATTATTGTCTAGAAGAGTGGTTAAAAGCAAGTACCCTAATTTCTGGAGATAACATAATTAAGCCTTGACTCACATCAGCATTAGGGTCTGCAATGGTATATATCAAGTTTAAAAGAATCTTTTAACCTGATTTTAGAGATTGGCTTCAATTGGTGAAGCTACACATATTGAAAAATAGCACAAAATAATGCATTTTTAATATGGATTTCTGAATCCAACGGTAAACTATTTTCCTTGAAGTGATCTGTATGGACCTTCTACTGCAGATGCACACACACGTTATTGCTCCTTTTTGGTGAGCAGTCATTTTGACAGGCTGGTTGAGAGTTTTGGAACAACTTCTGTTTTGTGGAAGCGTGTGGCATGAAAGTTACTGCTTTTTATAAGCACACTTCATTTCCTTTACAACATCCTGGACACAATTTCGGTTTTACATATTGGTATTCTGTCTTCAGATTGGTCCTGGAAACCATTTCACAAAATTTTGTTAAATAAAGCTTCTTTTGCCTCTTTTCAAGTTGTAGACAAAGGTTGTCGTCAGTGCTGGGTAAAAAGATTCTGTAGTGGTTAATTCCTAATTCTAGAAGAGGAGCTCTGGTGACCCAACTCAAATCCTTGTCCACTGCAAACTGGACTTCAGGATTGTGAAACTAGGCACAATATACATCTAGGAATTAGGGGAACTGGTTCTTATCCCACAGTCTCTGGTATATCTACTTTCAAATATTCAGCATACCACATCAGAAATATCACAGAGCTCCAGAATTACCTGTAAGTACAAGGTGTGCCATTTGGCTTAATAATACCCCAGTAGGTATTAGAATATTTTCGGCAATAAAAGCCTGTTTCAGAAGGAAAGATGCCTTAACATAACTTTACTTGTCACAAGGTAGCGTAAACCCTTGTATCTTTGCCTGTGTGCAGTATTTGACATCACGTTCTTCCCTTCTGAAGCCTGCACCAGACAATACGCACTAGAAAATCAAGTTTCATGCACATGCAAAAGGCTCAGAGTAGGTCCATGGAAAGCAGCACAAAATGCACTCAAGTATGATCTTTCTTTAGACAGGTATAAACTGATCCAGCAATTAGAAGCCACTCCTGTCATACAAAACAGAATTTACCTCTTCCTTTTGGATCACATTCTCCTGCGTATGTGTATGATGATGATACACACATACTTGCCATCCATTATTTCTCTATGTTGTGGTTTAGATACTAAACAGCGCACAAGTCTTGCCTTTTTTTTTTAATGAATTCACTGTGTCTGGGCTGATAGCAGAGATACTCCAAGAGAAACTTTACTACTGGAATAGTCTAGCATCAGTAAAACGTTTAAATATCCGGTTTATGTTGCTGCCTGGTAGGGCTGAATCAGAACAACCTGTTCCTTCTTTTAATCGCTGAACTTAAAACCTACCTTGGCAGAAAGTTAGACTGCAGGTGTCTTGGAAAACAACAAAAAATAAAAATTAGACCCAGACGCTAATGATTATGAAGAGCCACTACTGAGCAGGACATATAATTAAAAATATACTGTCATTTCCCTCACCTCAACGTTCAGTAATGTCAGGTTTATTTACTCAGTTCAGCTACTGCTACTACCCTAGTCTTGTTCTTTTTTAATTGAATTAAAGCATTAAAAATTAATTTTATGCAGATTTAATAGATACGAATAGGGAGAGCAGAAGGGGTACAGCACTCTAAGAAATTAGCCTATATTCTTCCTTAATGAGGATTACAAAAAAAAACTGTTAATAACCACATCTCCACATAAATAAATGGATACTCTTAAATTTACTGCTTCCAGGAACAATAACAGCCTACTGATAAATCCAGTAAAACAGCACAGAAACAAATTTATTTAAAACAAGTTTGATAGTGCAACACTGATGATGAACTGTAATGCTGTGAGCAGCTGTCAAAATAATTTTTTTTTAATTGCCTTGTATGATTCAGCTAACACACAGTAAATGAAAATGTCACTGACAGAGCATGAAGCTCACGGACTCCAGGGATGCTTATTAATTTTGACTTCTGTGAAAAAATGTGTCTCTGGAGTCATAGGGTAGTTCAAGGTGGTCAGACACTGCTGATCCTAAAACCTGGTTATTTCTCTCCTGAATGCTTTCAGTGGATACAACAGTTAAAACCTCTTATAAGAGTTTTAAAATATAGTTTTAAAATTATTTCATTGTTGACAGCTTATGCAGTTTTTGTTTTGTTTACTTTTTGTATCTGAGAGAAAATGTAGTGCTTATGAAAAGACAGAAACAGTCATAAGACAGAAGCATTTCGTAAGCAACATGTCAGATTGATTGCCTGAACCCATGCCGATTTCAAGGGCTCTTTTGAGAGCAGACTGCTAACACTGATTCAGAAAGACAAGTCTCATGCATACAAATGGGATCCCTACATATACGTACATACATCCATAGAAAAATATGCAGAGCTGGTTGGGTTTACAATATCAGTACCTATGATCCTTTCAGAATAAAACTGTTTCAAGGTATTGTTTGTTGTCGGTTGACAAATTATTAATTAGCCATTATTAGATTAATTTTCAGGATTCTTTTTCCATCTTGGTTCTTCAAACTATTGGAGCTCAAAACAGAATAGCTTGTCTTCGTTCATGTATGTATTTTGTCTGCCCTGTCTAAAGTAATGATTACATCTAGTTATGCATATTATATGTTTGCAGGCCAGATGTTTGGAAAATGAGAATCATGGCGTTTTCAACAGAATAGTAGAGGGCAGTGTATGCTTAGGAAGACTGAAAGAAAAGGTTAAGGTAAGCACTATTTCTAAGCTAAATAGTATGTAAAACATTCTGTGGTTTTGTTTTTTAATGAGAAAAGTCAGTAGTTAATCTGTCAGTATTTTTATGAAGGACTTACGAATTATTTTATAAATACTTTAAAAAAAAAGCAAAATAGATAATCATTAGAGTGGCATTAGTATGGCCACTGAGTAGGTGGTTTAGAAACTCAGAGATGGTCAAACATCTGGCCTAATCAGAGAACACATTATAGGTTATCTTTACCACTGCATAAGCAAACACAGAGCATAGTGTGCAACTGCAGTTAACAGCATATAGCATGAAAGACATTTGAAACTTCTATGTTTTAACATCTTTGGTGCTACTGTAATTGTTTTTACTGTAAACTCAAAAAAGGAAGGAGAAGGATATCTGGCATGTTGATTTCTATATACAGAAAGTACTATATATCTCTTTCAAAAGTGGTTTTGTACTAAGTCAAGTTTGTGCAGTTTACCTAAAAGCTTGGAGTCTCTCTGCATTGCACTGTTCCAGTTGAGACCTACACTGTTGTTCCTGCAGCAAATGACACAAATGTACACTGCTATGTTAATGGAGACCAGCTCCTTCTGCACTTTCCTTGTAAGCGTCAACACAGCACAGGAATTGGCAACAAAGAAAGTAAAACAAATTGTAGATGTAAAGAGAGAGCAGTAAACTGAAAAATAGCTAGAATTTGTAAGGAACCCTTCATAAAATACCTAAATGCATGAAACACTACCATAAAATAATTCTCTAATTATACTAATATAGCTTTAAAAATATTTTAACCATTTTTCACCCTCATTCATGTCTTATCTAAATTTAGAAAACATCTCCCCTACCAAGACAGTGGCTTGTATTCTTCTTAAATACAGATTTTTTTACAATTTAATAAATCTGTGACTACTGTAAGGGATAGAGACTTGCATAAAATTAAGAATATTTACATGCAGTACATGGTGTGAAGTTTAGGTGCAAAACCAAATTAAAAAAAAATCCTTCCTAACCCATCAACTGTTAATGTAAATGAGAAAAAACAGCCTGTAAATAAAGTTCTTAAATATTGCTGTTTCTATTTAGCAAAAGTAAGACTAATCTAGTTGCAAAACTTTTTTGTTCTTAATTTTTGTCAATAAAGCAGAGGGCTTAAACAGTCACAAAACAACTTAAAGTATCATATACTTCTTGGTTATTGTGTTAATTGAAGTTTGCGAAAAGCTAGTATAACTTCTTTCTTTGCTGAAAACACCTTAATTTCTTAAACACCTCCGGTCAGCATGATAATCTGAGGCAGTACTTTGACTGGGAGTCATTGGGGAGTCTCTTTGTACTTCCGTAATTGTCATTAGTAAGCAGTTTGTTGATCTACAGGAAGACCTTGAGGAAGCCAAGTCTTTTGTTGTTAAAACTACTTCTTGACAGTCAGAATCCATGCTATTTTGTCTTTCAATGTGAACTTGGACATAATGTTTGTATCATTGTGGAGTCCTTCAACTTCATCTTCGTGCAACTCTGTCTCATGGCAGCAAAAGGGACAGCTAATGCAAGGGGATCCATCTCCTATGTGAAGTATTTTAGTCAAACACCTAGCACAAATTCTGTGAAGACAATCCAAGATTCTGGGCCTATGACCGGGAATAGTAAGTCTCTGATAACAGATTTTGTACTCCAGTTCATCATCAGGCCCCTCTTCCTCTCGTTCAGTGCATGTGTAATTCACCTTGAAATTAGACATGCTGTCAAAAAGAAGTCAGATTGATAACAACTTGTTTCGTGGAGTCTGAATCTAAGTTTGATAATAATTTTGTTAATTATAAGGTTTTAGTAAAAATAGGTAGAAACAACCTTTATACTGAATATATCTCTCATCTCCCACTGCTGTTCCCCTCATTTTCATGCAACTTTACTCAACAGGCTGGCCTTAATTTTTTTTTCCTTCCATCTTGCTACATATTGCACTTTGAGTACAATATTGTTATTGGTGAAGAGAAAGCATTAAAGGTTTGTTCTTAACACTTCCTGAACACTGAGGAACTGTGTATTTCAGAAATGCCTGTAACCATTGCATAGGATACTCTCTGTATTCCTGTAAACCAGTTGTGCACACCAGCACATTTGAGTGAAACAAGGGTGCTTCTTCACCATGTTCCTATCAACATTAATCTGGACTTACAGAAAGGTGCTTTGGATCTAACATCAGGAGACCATGGATTCGTTTAAGTCTTAGCTGCACACATGGCTTTTCTGTCCAGAGAGTACCCTATTTTGTTAGCATTTAAGTTTTTCCATTTTGGGGCCCTTGAAAATTCAAGGAGCATTGCAGTTTTTGTAATGCAACCACTGAATAAACTGCATCCGTGGTTCTGCCAGTCCTAAAGATGGACCTTAACCACATGCACTTTGCCTCATATTTTCACATCACGTGAAAGTGAATTAGAATGTTTTCAGTTTCAGTATGTAGTTTCTTTTGGTTGTCTCTGTAAATCTATCTTCCTGTATATTTATAAAGAGCAACATTTCTCCTCTCTTTATATCTGCAGACATCAGTTGTGAAAGGCAGCTTAATTATTTAACATCTGCTCTATGTACTTTTTAAAAGACTGGAGTAGAAAGCATTAGAATTAGTTTACTTTTTTTTTTCCTTCCCCTGTTTTGGCAGTATCCAGTCATGGTCCTTCTGGCAGGAAGGGAAGACTCCCATTAGTAATTTGCATCCTGTCCCTGGAGAAGATTTATCACTCTCCTCGTACCTCCATAAAATGAAACTCAAAAATGACACATTTTACAAGAGCTAAAAAGGAAACAGCTTGCGGAAAGGATTATATAGCTTGCAACACATGCCAAAAAAAATGCCTTTTTTTGGTTTTCTTCCTTCAAGAGGCATACTCTTTCTGCTTTGATTCAGATGGAGATAAAACCTTAGTGGCTAACACCTTAGATACAACTTTATGTTAGCAAGATGTAAATAGCTGTATTTTCAAAGCTTCATTACATAGTTTGTAGTTTTATTAAAGGGGGTGCTTCCATTCCAAAACTCTGTCCTATAGCCTGTGTCAAATATCCGATTCTGCAGATGCAGTAACAGTTTAAGCATTCTGTTTGTAATCACAAGAAAAAAGCTAATATTGGATAACACCTGTTGTTTTTGTCAAGAGCAGCAGCATGTAGAAATGCTATTATTGCCAATAAGCAAAAAATCGCTTGCTCTTCATTGAACAGAAGGAACTATTATGTGAAGCAACAAGATATTTTTAAGTATGAAGCCACTCTCTTCTTCTTAGTATTAAGATTAAACAACTAACAATACAACCCCTTTTTCATGGTATGCATTGATAAATATGACTGTTGGACAAACAACATGGTAAGCAACATGTGCTTTGCATCTTGGAAAACAAACCCTTTTTTGCAGCCAGTTGTTTTCACTTGTAAAACAAACATGGTATGGTATATGCTGTACACGCTAGTTTTATATGCAGAACAAGGTACAAGTATAATATCTTCAAATTAACAAATAGGTAAAAAAAACCATAACGCAACCTACCTGACATATTTAAGCAAGGCAGCACTGATGTAAAGACTAAACTGCAAATTAGTATCTCTAGCTATTTCTTTAGCTGGTAATGAGTTGTCCTTATTTCTCCTATAATCTCATTTTCCTATTACCTTTAACTCTTACAGGTATGTAAAAAGGAAGCAGCGGAGAAGCTAGGAGATATGAGTCTCAAAATGACTGAGCAGGAGAAAGAATTTGCTGTGAAGACTGCTCTGCACGAGCAAGAAATGAAGCATCTCCAGCATCAGCTGCAAGAGAAAGAGCAAGCCATTAGTCAAGTGCTGCAGCAGAAGAGGTGAGTCAGTCACAGGCAGAAGCAGTTCAGTTAGATCTGGCAGGTAAAAGGGGTGGGGGAGGCAACTGCACACAGCCAGGAGCTCTTGCTTTTCATCAAAGCCTCACGTGGTATATTCTGGGTATCTTTTCTCACTCACATTTTAGCTATACTGAAAATACTGAAATGCTCCTCTTGATTCCATCCTTCCCAGTTCCAAAAAAGACCTTTTGAAGGAGGAATTTATTGTGGATGACTACTCCTGCTCTTAAGACTTCTTCTTAAGAAGAATATCAATCTGAGTGTAGTCTTTGATGATCGGGGGGGCCTATAAATCATCAAGATGGATGTTAATTATTTAATAGCATCTTCTGCTAAAGGCTGAACACTTTCTCCTCCACACCCCTCATGAGTTTTCAGAATAGTAAGAAATTAAAGGAATCTAATGAGTACACAATATGATGGGTAGCTTCCTTTTGAATCTACCTTACTGTTCTGTTAATAAGTGATGTAGATTGGCTACACGTAGAATAAAAAGAAAAGATAATTTAACATATTTATACGAGATTATTACTGTCAGTGTTGAAATATCTTTTTATAATATAGAATCCATAAAGGTATTTTTCCCTCTGGTAGTGGAAAGCTTTATAGCAAATTCACGTTATCAACACACAGGAAAAAACTTCTTTCTTACAACTGAAGAGAGGTAACTAAGCAGTCATTTTGCAAGTCATCTCTGCCATTGTGAAATAATAAAGACAATAGAAAATCAGGACTTAGTATTACATTCTATCAGCACATTTCCTCTCAATTACTTTATACAGTGCTATTAAACAGGTGTAAGTAGCTGGGAATTGTACAATGAATGTCCCACTGATCTCTAAAATTTGCATGAGAAAACAGTATTTTTACTATTCCACATTTCTCTGGAAATAGTTATGTAGGATTTTTAACTAATGAACTGCCTTTCATACCTCTGGGCTCATGTTACAGTTTTTTATAGTAGAGAACAGCTAGTTAAATAAAGAGGTTTTTTTTTTCAGTGTAAGATAGAGCATAGTTCAAGGTCCCATAATATGGATCATTCAACATTTACCTTTCTAGCCCTAGCTTCTTTTGATGCAGCCAAGGATCCGGTTGGCTTTCTGGGCTGCAACTGCACACTGGCAGCTCATGTTGAGCATCTCATCCACCAGCACCCCCAAGTCCTCTTCAGGGCTGCTTTCAATCCATTCTCCTCCCAGCCTGGATCTGTGCCTGGCACTGCTCCGACCTATGTGCAGGACCTTGCACTTGGCCTTGTTGAACTTTGTGAGCTTTGCCCAGGCAATATGATGGTAAAGAAAACTGGTTTATGGAAACAAGCGCAAGATGAACCTCACAAAGACGTGTCTTGCATTTCTGCAATCTCTGACATTAATGAACAGTCTAAGTGGTGACTACCTTTTTCTGGTAGTAGTAAAGCCTTAACAGTGTTTATTAGAGTGTAATATAACGAACACAACGCTGAAAGTTAAAATAATTATGTTCATCTTTCAATTTGTATTTTGGTTCATCTCATCATCTGCTGTTTTCCTTTGATAACTATATTAAAAAATGTTGCTGAGAAGTCAGCTGAAATCTACATCTCTAAGAGAGAATGTATTTTTATTCTTACAAAACAAAAATCAATAGAACCAGCTAACACCATGGCTGATGCTGTTCATATAAACTAGTTTCCTCATGCTCCTTTATTCACCTCAAGTGTGGTGGCAATATAATTTCCCCAGGTAATCCAAATATGTACGTACCCTGTTATGGCTATCTGCCAGAAATTAAACATATGTTTTGGTTAGCTTCATGTACTTATGGCTTTATAAGGCTTAGTCTGTTCTCTCTCCCTTCCTTCCACACAGTCACAGGAGTTAGAAAAGGAAAATTATTTGTAGTTTAGATATTGTTAGTTATCTGTAGCTTGGCAACCAAAGTCACTAGTGCCCAGACAGTACCAAACATTTACATTTATTTCCACTAGCTTTGTTTATGGAATTAATTTCTAGTCCAGAAAACTGTCTGGCTAATAATGTTAAAAATGTCAAAATACCTGTATAAACATAAAGGTAAAGTCATACAATATGTGTATTGTATATTAGATTACTGAATTTTGATGTTTAAGTAATGAAAGTCAAAGTAGCATGCCACATTTTAAGCAAGAAAGCCAATTTAAATTGAAATTTAGCTGAAGGTATGCTGACTATTTGGATAGCTGACTGTATTTTATGAAGTTACGATTTCTCTTTAGGAACACTATAAAACAAATGAAGCTATTTTAAAGGCACTGGCCACAGTCAGTCTAGTTAAAAGCACTGTTAAGTAGGTCAAGACAGAAAACTTCTTCATATAATTGCTTTTGCTCTTGCATTTAGTTTTATAATAGCGGAGTCAGGAAATCATACCAAGTCTGAATTAGCTACTGCCATAAAATTCTTATCATACAAGTTTACCGTATCGATTGTTGGTAATAAGTCTTCTTGGAAAACACGGGAAGATACTACTTCAGGTCTGGAAATGGCACAGTTCTTTCAGTGTGACACTCTGTCAGAGATAAACAGCCCCACCTCATTAATCTGAACAGGGCCATAGCAAACCTGACTGGGAGCAGGCCAGGACAATGGCATGAGTGCACAGTACCAAAATGCCGGGAGGCAGAGTTCCTGCAGATGACAGTGTGTTCAAAAGGAATGCTAGTTTAGACAGTTGGCACAGTAGTGGTACTCCTGTGCTTCCTCATTTTTGTTTCTTCTCTCATAATTCTGTTTTTAACAGAGTCTGTATCTAAACTAATGTGGGCTTCATAAAACATAACAAAGACGACTTTCCTTTCAAATTTTCTCTCCTCCTACATCATCTTTCATGTGATGACAAAAATCAGAGGTTGCACTGCTCAGCCATTACGTCTAAGAGAACAGAATTTTTCCACTTGGTTTTCAAAAAGAAATGCAGGATGTAATTGTTCTTTTGATAAATAAAAGCTTTAAAAACTTCTAGAGATATGCAAAGTTTATCTTCCTGGAAGCTGCTCTGTAGAGCCTTCTCAATAATTACAGCCTTTGCTAGAGACTGTAATAAATTCACAGCAACCTTTCGCCTAAATCAGCTGATAAGAAAGCTGTATCATTTTCTGTTCTTCAGGCAGCTGATAATCATAATGACATTTTTATTGTTGACAGAGCAATCTTAGGAGTCATGATTATGGCATATCTTTCCTTAAATGAAATATATTGCAAGTTTCAGATATAAACAAAGTTGTTAATGTAGTTCTAGGGTAGAAAACCAGGTTCATAAATGCAAGTCTTATTTTATCGAACACTTACCTTTGAGGTTTCTAGGTCACAATGTATTTCTTAAGTTTTCTGCAGAGGAACAGCACTTCCAGGTAGTTAACATTGCTGTACTTTGCACATTAAATGTAGGTCAGAAAGCCCTAGTAATGAAACTGCCTTAGACTGTCCTCAGAAGACGGTGTTTGTAAACAGAGAGAGAAGTGTTTTTAAAATTAGAATTTCTCTTCCTTTTTTTCTAGTAAAGTGGAAGGCGATCTTGAAGTCATTTGGGAATCCACATCCAAAGAAAACAGAAGAATGAGAGAACTCTTGTATAAAACTGAGGAAGAACAACATGGGGAGTACTGTCAGAGTTTCTGAACCATACTTACAGGAAACCTTTCAGAAGGACCTCATTTCTGGACATGATTTTAGCTATTGTGATGTGAAACCTTCATCCCTTACTATAAATGAAATTTAGCAAGAATCTCAGCGGTAAGAATAACCACGTGTTTTGCATCTCATCCAAGAAAGAGAACTCAGTACCTGACTTTGACTTTTTCAACAACACAAGATGTAATGGAACATTTACCCTCTTCAAAACAACTGCATTTTAGTGTCATCAAAATGACAACAGTATATTCTCCAGCTGTACCTTCAATAGTGTAAATCTAGCCTAAAATGTTACTTTTTTTTTAACAAGAAACGGACAAGACAGACATCCTCATAACAACTGGGTGGTGCCCGAACACACAACTGTCCCCTAAAGAGATTTACAGGAGCCCAGGTGTCAGCAAGTTCCTACCAGTTTTGCCAAGGGCACGAGATGTCAGCAGAGGAAGCAGCTCTCCTCCAGATTGTCTTCATCCCACTTCAGATTCAATAGCTTCAGAAGCCACTTTTTTTTCCCAGAAGCATTCCCTGCAACAGTGCCAACCTTTAGATAGGTTATTATGACATTTATTTGCCTTAGCTTTCATAACTGTTGATTTTTCACAATATTGCACATCAGCGTTGTAGTAGTATGAAAAGACTTTATTTTCAATTTCTGTATAACTTGTGGGATCAGCTTTTTGCTTCATTTCCGTAACAAAACCAAAATGGTACCGGAAAACCATAACAATATAAAAACCCTCTAACTATTGTAGTTTTATAATATTAGAAATAATGACAAATCTCATTGGCTTTGACCACAGAGTTAACAAGAAAGAGTAGAAAGCCAAGTTAAATACCGAAAAGAATACACACTGCTAATGTCTAGAAAATATCCTGCTTTCCTGAGGCGTTTTCCTCAGATAAGGCCATGACTCAGCAGAACAGGGTTATTTAGGAGCAGGTGGGGAGCACGTCTCCAACCACACCGTGATTTTTAGTGTTGTGTGGATGTACTGTTTTTTAAGACGGCTTCCACAAAACAGTGGAAAGTCAAAGATTCTACAGGCTCTCAAAGCACTTGCAAAATCTCAGCGCACTCAGAGAGCCCCCTCCTAAGAGACAAAACACCCAGGTAACTAAGTGAAAGATATACAAGTCCTACAATCATTGGAATTTTAATATGTAATCAAATGAGTGCAACAACCTTACCAGCTCATCAAGATAAAACTTCAGCATGCCACATGGAGACTTTGACTCGCAAAATTAGCACGACTATCTCACAGTCCCCTCTTGGGTAGTTAACAAGAGGTCCATCTTCAAATTCTTTCCTGCTCCGGGCTTCTTCAACTCGATTATTTGAGGACACAGTGACTCACAGTAACATCCAAAACATCAGAAATTATTTTTAAGCACTAACTTAATATGTGACATTGTCAGGGGGTGGTGTTGCTGGGTTTTTAGGGGGAGAGTAGGGTGAGGGTGGTCAGTTGCTAAACCCATCCCGTCTGTCTTCCTTAAATTTGAAAAAACTAATGTAAAATAGAAGGTCTGAGATACCTATTCAGCCAAGTCAGATATAGATGACATAGACATACACACTCCCCTCCTTTCCCTAAATCTGCATGTCTGCTTACAGTGATCCTGAAAGAACATCAAACAAACATGGCTATACCCACATTGTTTTTCGAGGCAGGTACTGAAAATGAAGTCTTTTAAGTTATATTTTTCAAGATAAGCATCTTTGAGTATGTAAATATAACCTTGTAGCTGCATAGGTAAATAATTTACATGTTCTTCTCATTTGTTTTTAATTGTCTTTTTGCATATGTCTCAAGATTTTGTAAAAATAAAGAACTTAACAGGAAAAAAAACTATCATATTTGTAATTCCTTAGAAACACAAGTGAGATTTTCAAAACTCTCTCAATATTGGCTTAACTGTTCTGCCACTTAAGTAAACTGGGAATGTCTTAGAATTACACTTCTGCCCCATCTGCCTCCCATTTTCACAGCGCTCTTTCTAGCGTGGGTGTTAGTATACAGTTCCAAGGACAGCACCTTGACAGCAACACTCTAACACTACGTTCAGAAGTGCTACACTTGCTTTTTCATTTGCATACCATGAAAACATGTTAAACTTTAAATGAGCTAACATTTAATCACATCCCTGGGAGATTATACATACTCTGTTTCCACAGCATTGGCAAGAAAATTGAGAAAACTTCATGTCCCATGGATGAAGAAGTCCTTTTGTGGCTCAGGACCGCTTTTTTGGCATACCAAGAAAATCCTAAAGATATTTTAAATACAAAGGTACATATAATCCACTGGACACTCTTGGATAGTAAAATCCTGGAGTTGTATTTGCTTTTGTTAATCTGAAACATGTGCAAGAGCATCAAGTGTTGTACAAATAGAATTAATGATTAGACAGGTGCTTCTCTCCAATTCCTTCTGACAGTTAGGAAAGAAACTCATTTTCTCTTTCTACTTTACAAATAGCTAAAAGAATGTGTTTTCCCTCAAGTCCCTTTCAGATGAAAGATGAATTTTAGGCTCTGGATGTTTTTCATCTTGCATTAAAACACTTGTTTTCAGTATGCTTCTATGTACAAAAAGTACGTGAAATAATGTTTAGTGCAGGCCACCGATGTTAGGATTAGAAAAAACATAAAAGAGGCATTATGCATATAAATATTCTTTTGAGAAAACAAAAATATTATTTTATTAAAGCACCCAACATTTAAACGTGAAGTAAAAAAACCACCATAAAATCCCCCTGAAATTACTAAACAATAATTTTATGCGTTAAGATTGCCTAGCAGGAGATACCACTACTTAAAATAATAAAACAAAAACCCAATGTCTCAGAAGCTAACTAGAAGAAATAAAGAGCTTAATGGATGATTGCCATCACTTCTCTGCTTAAGAAGCAGTTAAAAATAAGAACAAAATAATTTTATTTGAGCACTGGAAAACACTCAAGTGAGCCACTAGAAACCAACTCTGCTGGAGGTATTTTGTGTATTTTGGAAATTCTAGGAGGTGCAATTAGGGAGAGTTTAACTGCATTATCTGCTAACACAAGGAACCACTACTGGGAGTTACTCAGTACGTTTTGGTTTTTTTAAAAAAGTTAAAAATTCAATGCATTCTTAATTCATAGCAGCTACACCCGTGACAGCAGCACCACGCTCGGGCCAGCAGCGCTGAGCACTTCCACAGCTGACCCTCACTGATGGAGTTCTGTGCAATGACATGCTATCTGAAAATGGGTGTTAGAACAGTGAAACCTTATTTACTGGGGAAAAAAGTTTGTTCACACGATTCCTAGGCTTTCCACACCCAGTACAAGAGGCAGTGCCTCTCCAGCAGAAGGCTGGGATGAAGCTGTTAACTGCCATCAGCTGCAGCTGCGCCTCGGCCGGCTCACCCCCACCGCTGGGGATGTTCTGGTAATGCCTGGGGACTGGGATGGAAGCTGCAGAGAACTGCGACAACTGGCTAGAAACCACCTAATTCTTTCAGTTACCAGAACCCCGTGCAGCTTGAGTTAATGTGCTCGTGTCTGTTCAGTAAGAGTGCTTCTCTCTGCTCCGGGGAAAAGAGGTCCTTGGGCCTGCCCTGAGGGTACCAGGCCTACAAACACAGCTCCTGCGTTGGGTTACAGCTAGGGTAGGCGAATAAATCCATCGTGAACCACAGAAAGATGCAACATAACCACCACACCGAATGACTGATAAATAGAGTGAACTTAACTGTTGCAGTACAGAGACTTCTTATTTCACAGGCTGAAAACACTTAGAATATACTTTCTTCTATATACTGCCATAGAACCTGGGCATTTATCCAGCAGAAGGAACCCTGATTCAACTCAGGTAACCAAAACAAATTACAGAATACCTTGGTTCTATCCAAAAAAATAGTTTTAAATGGTTAGAATTAGGTTAGAACGTGGAAAACTGAAAACTTTATTAATACCAAATACATGCTACTGCACAAGATCCATCCTTTTGGAATGAACAGACAACATTCTCTGGTGTTAATTTCTCATTACAAATTAATTCCATACAGATGCACTGCCAATGAAACAACATTTTATCACCGTAACTGTATAATCAGTGAGTCAGATGCCAGTGCTGGAAAGTCTAGTCTATAACCTACTTTAAATTCTGTTCCAGTCAAGTAAGAGATTGACACAGTGCTGCTGAAACTCATTTTATCAAGGGAGCAGGAAAAGTAGACAGATTAAATAAAGGGGCATCAGGCAGACAAGTCTCAAGAAATAGATGCATCTGATCATAGCATGAAATAATAGTTAAGGGATGGAGTGATCAGCAGTTCGAGGATGGCCACCAAGGACTCCAGGAGAAGTAACTGGGCAAGACAGTACGACACTGTTTTACTTCAGCTGTCACACATGACTACCTTCCTTACCTTCTCCTTTTGTAGCTATATTAAAATCCCAACTCAAACACACAGCTGCCTTGTGCACAGTGATTCTTCTCCACAATGATGTTCTTCTTGCTCTGCTGCAGAAGACAGTAGGACACTGTTTTACTTCAGCTGTCACACGACTACCTTCCTTACCTTCTCCTTTTGTAGCTATATTAAAATCCCAACTCAAACACACAGCTGCCTTGTGCACAGTGATTCTTCTCCACAATGATGTTCTTCTTGCTCTGCTGCAGTACTCTGCAGGGGACAGGAAAGAGTTGCCACAGAGGTTAGAAATGAACAGGACAAGTTAGGATAGGATTTGAACCAACAGAAACGGTTGCTGGTACGTGTTCTTCCCTTTAAAACAGTATCAGATTGCTGCAAGAGAATGGTGTCACACAGTCCAATCCAACTCCATCTAATGTTTAATTAAGGATTAATTGTGGTCTGAAGATCAAAGGTGAAAAGAACAGCATCACGTTCACTACGAAGATGGCTCTGAGTTTTTCCGTCTTCACTGTGATAATAATTTCTCATACACATACGTGCAAGTATTCTGAACACTATTTAATATTTCTTAATTCTCCTTCCCACTGGTCATATGATTTTAATAATCTTGCAATTCCAAGCAGAAGCACAAACACTTCTTTCTCGGATTTTGGTATGAAAAAAATTGTTAGCCTATATAATCTAAAATAACACAGTCAAAAGGACAGGGGATCAAGACACTCTGCGGAGTGCTTCAGTACTCACCACTTTCTTCCTCAGCCAGAAATGGGCACACTAAAGATGCCGTCTTCCAAAGCCAGTGTTACCTGGTAAACCCTCCTTGATGAAACACCAGGGGAATGCAACCTGAATTTTGTATTCAAAAAGGAGATCAAAGTGAGGCGCCAGCTCCTCAAACAGAAGAACAGGAGGAGCTTTGCACTAGAGAAATCACTCATCCTGATCAGGCTTTGAACATTGTTAAAAGCTTTGGCTCCTGAAAGCTCTGTAAAAAAATTATTTCGATATAGTCAAGCCAGTTTTCTTCAGAGGCTGTCAAAATTCCTTCAGAACATCCTTAAGAAAAGACTCCTTGATTTTCTGTGATGTTTTGGATAGAACAACATAACCAGCATTTACAAGTCTCTGAACAGCTGTGCTTGAAAAAATCCCATAATAATAATAAAAAAAAAATTATCTTACTAAAAAATGTGCACCATTCAGGCAGGTCTAGTGCAAAACCTTTAGCAGACCTGAAGATCTTTTCAACAGCCCTACTTGTCACAGGGGCAAAACCAACTACTCTGTAACCAAGAACTAAGTAGGGAAAAAACCCACAGGTATTTAAAATCCATATACGCTATGGGCATTGAAAATTACATAGTCATCTGGTCTTTCCTGTTGACTCCCACAAGATGCAAAGATCTTGCAATCCAGTAGCATAACCCAGCATGGACACAGCTATTAAAACCAGACTGTTTTCTTATATTCCACTTGCAGGATGCCCGCAATTAATCAGAAAAAAAAAAAATTAGAGATAACAGCAGTGAGATCACTTCCTACAGCACATCTGTTAATGGCAGGATTCAAAGAATCACAGAATGGTTTGGGTTGGAAAGGATCCTAAAGATCATCGAGTTCCACCCCCCTCCATGGGCAGGGACACCTCCCACTAGCCCAGGTTGCTCAAAGCCTCATCCAGCCTGGCCTTGAACCCCTCCAGGGATGGGGCATCCACAGCTTCTCTGGGCAACCTGGGCCACTGCCTCACCACCCCCACAGTAAAAAATTGCTTCTTAATGTCTAGTCTAAATCTGCCCTCTTTCAGCTTATAACCATTACCCCTTGTCCTGTTGCTACACTCCCCGATAAAGAGCATTTCCCCATCTCTCCTGTAGCCCCCATTAGGTACTGGAAGAACAGGTGCAAGTAAACAGAGCAGTCCTCTGATTAAAATTTAGTAACCTGTTAAGTAGCAAGGTTAGAATGGAAAGTTCCCATGCTGAGATACTGCTAAGCTACAATTACAACCTGCAAGTTAGAATACTTACTATTTGCTTAAGCATTGGTCAAAGCAGAACATGCATTATTGCAAGCAGTAAATACCAACCCTAACAAACATTAACCTTTACTATTAGTGACTAATGATAATAAAAGGTGTATTTATACACTGTGCCCTTGCTGTTTCCTGAATTAAAGTTGAAAATTACTTTTTACGATTTAATTGGTAAATAGCATTTGAAAAGGTTCAAACTACGCTGCTTAGGCAGGACCAGCCCAGAGTTTGCTTCTGCAGCCCCGTGGAATGCGAACTCGTTGATCTCTCCATTGATGCATGCATTTGAGAGGGAAGGAGTCTTTTCCCATGGCTGTAAAATGCCATTTCTCTTGTCCATAAAGAAAATAACAGTAGAATCCTTGAACTCAGTGTTTACTTTTTCCTTAAGCTGCTGAGGAAAAGACATACTGCTGGTAAAATTGCAAATCCTTTAACAAGTTTATAGCATCCCAAGAAGTTTAACCCCTAAATCAACACCAGACAATAAATGAAGAGACTTTTCAATTTTTATAAGGAAACACAGGCTAGTTAAGGTCAAGTCACTGGCAGAGATTTAAGACACCTATTGAACAGATGGGAACACTCCAAATACACCTTCCAGGCTGACTAAAGAAACCGGGTTGCTTAGGCAAAAACTCAAACAACATATTTTCAATGTTGCCTTTATTGTATCTCAAGAAACAAACTAGAGAATAGATGCGATGCGTAAAGAAAAGACCTCTCAAAACATCATGAGATGTTGAAATAGCTAATGTGAAGCTTCCAGTACCTGAAGGGGGCTACAGGAGAGATGGGGAGGCACTCTATCAGAGAGTGTAGTGATAGGACAAGGGGCAATGGGTATAAGCTAAAAGAGGGTAAATTTAGACTAGACTTTAGGAAGAAATTTTTCACTATGAGGGTGGTGAGGCACTGGCACAGGGTGCCCAGAGAAGCTGTGGATGCCCCATCCCTGGAGGTGTTCAAGGCCAGGCTGGATGAGGCTTTGAGCAACCTGGGCCAGTGGGAGGTGTCCCTGCCCATGGCAGGGGGGTTGGAACTAGATGGTCTCTAAGGTCCCTTCAAACCCAAACCATTCTATGATTCTATGTGTAGAACATACAAAAATTCAAAGATTACCTACACTAAACCGAAAAAAATTCCTAAGCAAAACTGGACTTAATATGGAATTAGAGATTAAATACTCCATCATTTTTTCATCAAAATTACTTAAGTTTTTTTTCCCCTTTTTTTGTTGGTCTGGAAATGCCAGAGTAGAGATGATATGAAAGGTGTGGCTACTTCATTTCGAGAGACAAAGTTAAGCCCATAATATAATTCCCTTCCTTTTTCTTTTCACATTAGCTATTTCAACAGTGTCTGCAGCATTTCAGGAAAAACAGGAATGATAAGAAGATTATAAACCTCAAAGTTATCAGCTCTAGAGAACACAGAAGTACATTACATAATATCTGATCCCAAAGGAGGCATCTGCAAATGATGGATACAAAAACATTAGGATATTTAATACTCCATCACAATTACAGTGAAAAATGTTTTAAAGTCTTTGTAAAAGATGCAGAAGGAATAAGTTGCTGATATCTGCCTTTTCATATACTTGTAGTAAGACTAACATTTTAAGACTATTGTCTATATGCGTAGGAAAAAAAGAACTTTTAACCAACCATAATTCAGATGGTAATTTTTGAATAAGTAGTTAAGATGGAAGATCTTCTCTTGAAGTATAACCTATTTCTGTGAGAATTAAACCTGAAAAACAAAGAGGAAAAAGACAGTGAGTAAAAAAAAAAATACTGCTTTGGTTTTATTTTCAATACTGACATTACTTTGCAGTCTCAACGTGGAGAAAGTCATTCACAGCACAGTCTGGCTCAGCCATCACAAAACATGGCAAATATAAACCAATGTACTTCTGCTTCACATTGTTAGTCCATTTCTAGTCACAGATTTACATCAACGTTACAAAAGACAGGAAGTTGATCACGCCTGCATGCTTAAACAGAACATTAAAATAAAAAACAAACAAACTGTCCTATCATGCCAGGATACAGTTTTGTTGATCCTTAGCTC